CTCCTGATGAGTCGGTGAAACTCCGACGAAACAGTTTGTCACAGCCCCTCGTTTGTTGTCTTCTTCTCTCTCTCTGCCCACGGTTTACCGGGCAGTTCTGTTTGTGACGATATATATATATATATATTTATTTATTTTTTTTTTCACATGTGCATAGTATAGCAAAGAGAAACAAAATCGCATTGATTGTCATAGAGGTAATTTGATTGTGGACATACAATATTATGTTGATAACTTGGCTACCAGCCTRGGTCCACGGGTCACCTTGTTTTCCCGGGTGGCCCGCCCCCAGCCAAAAAATAAGTAAATAAATAAAAATCCGGTAAAACAAACAGCTATGTTATGCACAAAAATAAACTGAACAACTCTTGCCTCAGGGTCACATCAAACTTCTTTACCATATTAATATATATATCTATATTATATATATCTATTACATATATTAAAATTGTCACAAAGTTGTCAGAGAGCAAAAGCGAAAGGAAAACAGAAAGAAAACAAAGAAAAATAAATTCATTTTCTTAATATATGTATATTTGACGATATATATATATATTGTGACGATATATATATATCGTCACAAACAGAACTGCCCGGTAAACCGTAGGCAGAGAGAGAGAAGAGGACAACAAACGAGGGGCTGTGATATGGTAAAGAAGTTTGATGTGACCCTGAGGCAAAAGTTGTTCAGTTTATTTTTAACAAGGTGACCCGTGGGCCAAGGCTGGTAGCCAAGTTATCAACATAATATTGTATGTCCACAATCAAATTACCTCTATGAGAATCAATGCGATTTTTTTTCTCTTTGCTATACTATGCACATGTGAAAGCATCTTTTATCAGCATTACTGCATGGCACACGTTTGCCCACACTGACACTTTTGTTTTGGGGATAGGAATAATTATTGAATTATTAAACCGTTTGTAGACATTGTTGCCCGAGCATTGTTGGAGCAGTCTATAGTCCTGCCCCCATGTGAATAGCATATACGTGTCTCGTTACACTGGGGTTTTGAACATAGTTCCACCTCTCCTAGCAAAGGTAAATTGAACCTTCAGCCACTAGCGCACCACCCCAGCCTTGCAGAAAGTTTTTGTCGCCACAAGCAAACTCCGAGGCGCCGCGGGGCCCGGGGCGCCATTGGAGAAAAAAAAAAAAAAAAACGGGGCTGTGTGTGTGTGCGTGAGAGATAACACTTGCGATTTGGACAATACGTGCGAGGCTTTACTCTCACAGAATACACGTCCTGCCCATGGCATGCGACAATAACCAGTCGCAATCACCCTTCTGCCTCTCTGCTCAGGTAATCATCCCAGCCATCATCTAGGTATTTATACCGTACACCTCCAGTTCTTCCCCACCTATCCATCCTCGAACCTGTAGTATACTCTTTCCTCATCACGTCCTTGGTCGCAGAATTCCGTCGTCACACTTTCCACCGCTGGATGTTCATCTCCCAAGTGTCCTCCTACTCTTGCAACTCTCTCTCCTTCTGTCTCTGCTTCTGGTCCCGACTCCTATCTGATGAACCCTTCCCGTAAATCCATTTTAATTCACGCACTACTATCTGGATATAATTACCATCTTAATTTTCATAAAATCCCTTCCCCGTACTTTACAATTTCGCCTGAATCCTCCCTACTTCCGACGCTATTCCCGTGGTCCTTTCTATTTGGATATAATTGCTATCGTATTCTTCTAAAGTCACTCCTTCGTATTTTTCAATTTTCACCCAACTCATCCTCGTGATCCTTCTTATTTGGATATAAATTCTGTCCTATTTTGTCACGGATGAGGACAATTTTCACCCAACTCATCCTTGCTTCCGACGGTGAATCTCGTGATCCTTCTTATTTGGATATAAATTCTGTCCTATTTTGTCACGAGTCCCTCATCCGTATTTTCCAATTCTTCAACTCGTCTTTACTTCCGACTATATCTCCCGTAGTCTTTTCTGTCTAGATATAATTCCTATCGTATTTTTCTTTTTCTTAAAGTCCCTCCTCCGTATTTTACAATCTCACCCGAGTCATCCCTGCTTCCGATGATAAATCCCGTAGACCTTGGATATAATTTCTATCATATTCTGAAAAAGCCCCTCCTCCGTATTTTTTCAATTTTTCGACTCATACCTGCTTCCGTAGTCTTTTCTATGTGGATATAGTTCCTATCGTATTTTTCTACAGTCCCTCCTTTTACAATTTCACCCGACACCTCCCTGTTTCCAATGCCCATCCCCGTATTATTATATACCTGGATATAGTTCTTCCGTATTTTCCACAGATAAACACTCTTTCATCCTTTTCACTTCTGTCCACTAAATACCTTCCGCGGATTCATCCATGTACCCATCCGTACTCTGGTAATAGTGCCAAAAACTTTTCTCCGTCTTTGACGTTTCTCCTGCGTTATATTTTTACATGTCCTGGTCTTTACAATCGGGAAGTTTTCTTCGTATTTCCGTTTTATTTCTTTTTCATATCTTTTCTTTTACTTTTACCACTGATTTGACTGTCCTAGTTTTATTTTATTTTGTTTTGTTTTATTTTATTTTATTTTATTTTATTTTATTTTATTTTATTTTATTTTAATTACAAGGAATTTTTTAATTACACGGAATTATGTGCTAATCGTTGCTTGTTTTGTTTTTGTTTTTGTTTTTTGTTTATTTTTTCGTTTTTGTTTTTGTTTGTTTTGTTTTGGCTCCGTCGTACTCTCAGGTACGTACTTATGTGCTCATTTTCTGTGTATGCGGTCTGGATTTTTCGGAACCTTTATTCCAAGAGTCGTTATTTACAATAATTTACATCACCGCTTTCTCTTTCTGTTTGTTTCGTGTCCGTCCCCGTTCTCCAGGAATTTGATGAATATATCCCGTATGTCTTTGTCCTTGCAATTCTTGATAAATGCCAGAATGGCCGTTCGGATAACCTGCCATGGGAATTCCAGCGGTTTGAGCTCCGTAACTTGCAACTTTAAACTTGCTGTTATGTCTTCACGTGAGTACGCCACGATTCTGTGAAATGTGCCGATGATCGTGAGCTTTTTGGTGCTGATCGAGCCCACGCTCCTGAAGTGACGGATAGACCTAAGAGAGAGAGAGAGAGAGAGAGAGAGAGAGAGAGAGAGAGAGAGAGAGAGAGAGAAAGAGACAAAGAAACAGTGCATTGTGTCTTATGTGATGGAGATAGAAGTTCATGTAGCAGGAGTCAAGGGAGAGTATTTTCGGGGCGACAACCATTTCCATACATAGCTCTGAGATAGATCGTCGGACAGTAACCCGAGCAGTTAGGCAGAATATCCAAAAGAGATGATACAAGTAAATAACATAGATGCGGTAAGTAACAAAGAGAAAGAAGCGCCATAGCATGAACGACAGATCTCTAGACNGATGCGGTAAGTAACAAAGAGAAAGAAGCGCCATAGCATGAACGACAGATCTCTAGACTACTAACCACAAACACACCTACCAGAAAAGCTGAAACGCCAAGAAAGGAGCAAAAAACGGCGCAAGAGGGAGGAGGACCTACGTTAGGAAAAGGAGAGGAAAGAAGGACAAGGCAGGAGGAGGCCTGGGAGAAGTGAGAGGAGGAAGAGGGGCAAGATAGAGGAACGGTGATCGGAGACGAAGATTGCGATTCAATCTGCAAAAAGGAGGCGGAGGAGGAGGAGGAGGAGGAGGAGTGTCAGAGGAGGAGGAGGAGGACAAGGAGGAGAAGGGGCATGATAGAGGCATGGTAAAGGGAGAGGAAGTTCTGAGATTCAATATGCAAAACGTGGGAGAAGATATCAAAGGAGGAAGAGGGGGAAGGCGAGAAGGAGGAAGAGGAGGAAGAGGTGGAGGAGGAAGACGGAGGGGAAGGAGTTGGGAGGAGGAGTAAGATCAAGATCGGTAATAAGGAACGATGAAGGGGGTCCAGGGGGATCGGGAGGGGTTGCATGGGGACCCAATTTTGCGGTCCAGGGATCGAAGACGTACAACTTTGCACGCAACGACGCGGCGGCAGACGCATCGACAATATCCAGGCAAGTCTTGAGGTCGTTCTCATTCCCAGTCACTTGATAGGATTTCAAGCACAGGAGTGCTGTTCCCAAAGTGCCAGTGTACATGAATGGGTCCCGAACGGTTCGATCGACCGCAGTCCAGGTTCGGTGTACTATATCGTCTTTCAGAGTGGCACCCGATTGCATGAAATCCTGAGACGAAGGGAATCGTATCCCTTCTCCTCCTCCTCCTCCTCTTGGCATGTCCGTCATGCTGGGGTCACGTTTTGCCGGTGCTTTTCCTCCCTCCGGTTCCCCGCGCTCTCCCTCTCCCTCTCCTTTCTCTCCCTCTCCCTCCTCTCTCGCAGATTCCACGTAGTCCGGCAAGGTGTTGGCGAAGTACCGAGGCTGCCTGTTCTCCATTGGGCCACTCTACACACGCCTCCTTCTCACCCACTCCCACTCCCACTGCTACTGCCACTCCCACTCCCACTGCCACTCTGCTATAGCCCTCAACCAACTCCTTGCTCAGATACGGAAGCCGATCCCCTCTGTACACACACCTCCTCCTCTCCGCTCCCACTGCCACTGCCACTGCCACTCTGCTAAAGCCCTCCACCAACTCCTTGCTCAGAAACGGAAGGCGATCACCTCTGTACACACACCTCCTCTCCACTCTCACTCCCACTGCCCCTCCCACTCTGCTAACGCCCTCAACCAACTCCTTGCTCAGACACGGAAGGCGATCCCCTCTTCTCCAATCCGACACAACAATCAGGTCTTCACTCCGCTCGCGCGTGCGCAAACACACACACACACACACACAAGCAAACAAGCAAACAAGCAAACAAACACCTCCCCTCCCCTCTCCCTCCCGAACTCTTTTTGTGGTCAATCACAACACCATCGACGCAACTCCAGGCTCCAGCCCGACAGACTTTACAGATTGAAACTCGATCTGACTTCACAGACGAGACCCGATCTTAATTCAGTCGCGCCACGTTGACTCCACCCACCCTCTCAGCGTAGCTCCACTTCGACTACAGAAGTCTGAACATGGCCAAAAAGACGAGCTAACGGAGATCGGCTTGACGCGAAAACATTTCAATTGGCGCCAGAATCAGTGAAAAAACTACCGCTAAGATCCGTCGAAGAAATTACCACTTGAATATTTCAAAAACATTGCGGCGAGAACCTCAGTCCAACAGATACTGTCGAAACTTTGTGAAATGGAGCGAGGCAAGTATCGCTTTTATAATGTTCTCAACTTCTCACCATGCAGTTGGACGGTTTTTGCGTGATTATGCATTATGGGGATTGCCGACAGCAGTAGCACGGACAGAAAGCACCAAAATGTGCCACGCTCCACGACTCTCCAGATGCACAGAAGACAAAAACCATGGCTCATCTATCTCATCCTCTCGCTAGTACTGGCAAGAAGATGCAATTTCGGGAAAAAAAAAAAAAAAAACATGGCTCTGTATTTTTCCATGTTCTGGCTGAGTCTCATTTTACACATTTGGAGAGTAGTGGAGCGAGGCCCGATGTTTCATGGAGAGGGGCGACCTGTGGTCCCACAAAAGGCCGCACGGTCGTTCCAGCCAGCCCGTGCGGCTGAGCGGCGGCACGCACATGTAACTGTGGACCAAGAGATCACCAGTTCGAACCCTCGCGAAATGAGATGGGCATCTGACCCGTTTTCACAAAACGAAAAGAGAAGAACATGCACTTCAGGAGAGGACATAGGGCCTCTCCCCACAGCAGGTGCTAGCGGTGTCTGCCCTCAACAGCATCACTAGCACTGGAGGGACTGTTTAAAAAAAAAAAAAAAAAAAAAAAAAAAAGGAGAGGACATAGGGCCTCGTTCTACACCACTTGAAAATACTTTCAAGTGCACCCTAAATGAGAAATTGTGAGAAATTGTGAGAAATTGTGAGTCCATTTATGGCTCCACGTATGCTTGAGGAAACCCTTGAACAAGCTGCACTTGAAACGGAAACCCACGGCTTGCTGACCAATCCTGGCCCAGGATCGCCTGGTGGAGAAAAAGAAAAACAAAAAARAGCCCCACTCGAAGTGCTGACCAATCCTGGCCCAGGATCTCCTGGTGGAGAAAAAGAAAAACAAAAAAAAGCCCCACTCGAAGTGCTGACCAATCCTGGCCCAGGATCGCCTGGTGGAGAAAAAGAAAAACAAAAAAAAGCCCCACTCGAAGTGCTCGGCGGTATCCTTTCGCACTTGAGTTCAAGTGCGATTTTGCCCCACTCGAAGTGCTCGGCGGTATCCCCTCGGGGAGGTACCTTGAGTTCAAGTGCGATTTTGCCCCAGCAGCACTTGAGTTTCAAGTTTGCACACTTGAGAGCAGGAATTCCAAGTGAAAACATTAAGGCAGGGTCATTATTAGGGATTAGGGAGGGGGGTGGAACGAAGAATTTCCCGGCAACCCTTGAGTTCAAGTGGTGTCGAACGAGGCCCATACTCTGATTGAGAGCAGTAGGCTAGGACCTGAACAAGGATAGAGCGAGATAGGGGCGTTTACACAAAAGGATTCTTTTTATTAGTTTTTACAGTGCTCGCTGGAACCGCTAGGTGTAGGTGTTGTTGGACTTGCTTAGCATTTCTTGGTTCTTGATTTGGTGGTCTTTTCAGGTTTATGTGGCGTTTCAAACCTAAGGTCCTTGTGGGGATCTTAGGTTGACGTGGCTTTTCAGACCTAAGGTCCTTGAGGGTCTTAGGTTTGTGTGGCTTTTTGGACGTTGTGGTATTCTTACTTGGCGGAGCAGCGGTTGTGTGGCCTTTTACTTAGGTTTGTGTGGCTCTTTTTCAGGCCTTGTGGAGTTGTTTATTTTTCCCAGGGTTGGGGATTGCCAGAATAGCGGTCGTGTTTTGGCCTCTCTTCTGTCGAGAGGCGGTTAATGGAGGCCCAAAACAAAATTTTGGACAACTTGTCAAACCCTTTTTTTTTTTTCTTTTTTTTTTCTTTTTTCTTTTTTTTTCCGAACAACCCGAAAGGATGCTAGGTGCGCTGACAAGAGCAGACGCATCTAGCACCGTCGGGCAGGCTCCATCTATTGGTGGGGAGCAGCACCTGCTGGAAATCGGGTCCAGCGTCCCTTAGATACATCTTTTGGGACAGTGTTTGTTGGGCATATGGCCATCATAGATCATGCTCCAGAGCATCCTTCTCTACCCCAGGGCTGCATAGCCCAACATTCATTTTACTCCATCCCAACAACTGCAACTAAGCTGGGTAATGGTCCCATACGTTGTTTTCCGGGTTGGCTGTTGAGGAATTCCGGGCCTCTGCTGTTGTGTGTGGTAATCAAACAAGCAGAGTGTTTTCCGGGCTGTTTGTTGAGGAATTCAGGGCAAAGCAAAGTGTTTTTCTGGGTTGTTTGCTGAGGAATTCCGGGCCTTTGCCTTTCATGTGTGGTAATAAAATGAGCAGAGTGTTTTCCGGGTTGTTTGTGGAGGAATTCCGGGCCTCTGCTTTCGTGTGTGGTGATAAAATGAGTGTGAGTTCCGTCAAAGAAAAGGGGGTAACTACGCGGGAGTCACAAACACGAGTTATAATTGCACTATGGCCCAAGATACAATTTGAAATTGCACTTCACCCTACCGGGCCAGAAATCTGGGTTGTATACATTGCCCGAACTGCAATTTGAAAGTGTATCTTGGCCCACATTGCAATTATAACTCGTTTTTGCGACTCCGGCGTAGTTTCCCTGGAAAAAAGGGGTAACTTCAGTATTGCAGTTTGGCGCCCTACCCGGACAGAAAGCTGGGTTGTATAC